ACAGCAAATGTAGGTCAAAAGTTCTGATACAGAGCTCAAGTTGTGTCAGAGTTGTACAGAACTGAATGTCAAGCACTTTTATGCAACATTACTGAGTTCCTATTTGTTCTCCACAGAACAAAAAGGCACAAGTTTACCTGATTCTCATGGACCGCAACCTCTCACCTGCACCAGCTTCTTTTACTCTGAGCAAGACATTAGCGATGAGGTAAACCTGCAGACAGAATCATGTGAAGGTTTTATGAAGGTTATTGTGCCAGAACATCAAATTAACCCAATGTTATTGTTTTAAAGGACTCTGATGATTTAAGCTCGGGGGTCTTTTCCTCCTGTAGCACCACAGATGGCCATAGTTTCAATGTGGATTGGTCAGTGTCAACTGACCAGACGCCATCTTGCTTCTTTGAAGGTAAGTTTAATCAGTTAAGTGCAATTTCAGGTGCTTATGTATGTTTGTGTGTATTGATTTGGGTATGTGTGCAGGTCTTGGCGTGGATATATGGGTGGAAGATGTAAGCGGAGAGAGTTTAAAGATCAGAGAGAGGCCACAGGTGAAAATCGGACACATTGCTGTGGGAATCAGTGAACAGGTGAGATTCCTCTATAAAGATTTCACATCTTTCATGTGAGAAGAGATTGTAAAATGGCGCATTAAAACAGTATTTATTTCTATATCACAGATATCTCTGAGGACATTCAGTTTGGCCACCCTAGATGGGCGTCTGGTGTCTCCGGACACAGAAGTATGCGAGTCGGGCATGTGGTTGCAGTGCGTTCCTGCTTCTGACGGCAGTCCCAGCTGGGATTGGAGGGTCAGAGATGGAAAACTAGAGCTGCGAGAATATGATGAACATTCAGATACCTGCTCAACAGTGGCACTCTAGCAAAAGTGACCATTGCAAACAAACAGAACCGGAGTTTTATACGTCTCATTCCATTATTTTTGAGCTTTATGATGCTAACTTCATTTGTCACGTCATGCATTTGTTTAGGAACTTGTGTTTGATTCAATTTAAACATTTTCAGAATTGTCTAAACTTAATCCTAATGTGTCAAATTATACAATTATTTTGATGCAAATGTAAAGGTACATTGTAAATTTGTTGTGTTGATAGTTTTGTTAGGAAGACAACACCTAATTTCAGTGTTATACATAATATACACTGTATAAATACTTTTATATAAAATACATAAATGTATTTTGTGCATGAAAACAAACGCTATTTCAATGATATGCAATGTAAACTAAGGCGTGTACAGTTACTACAATAAATCGGAAGTTCTTACTTCCTCATTTCCCAAATCCAACCGGATCTGTCAATCATTCTGATTGGACCGCACTCGTAGAAGGCGGGATTATGCATTGTTCTCCTTTTCTGATTGGACTGTTTTGTGTGGTGGGCGGGGCTTGTCAAGCCGGCGTGTTGAGTTGCGTTATACGCCATTTTGCAGTGACAGTCAGCGGTGCGCTAAAGCAGTGGAGACAGACAGCTCAAGAAGTCCCGGTTCAGAGGTGATTTTATTTCGCTGCCTTCATGATAAACATTCTCACTTTTTGACGATTACGTTAAGTTCGTTAGTCATTCATTAAGCTGTTTTCAAATGACAAAATCCGTAATTTGAAGTGCCAGCTGGCTGCTCTTATCTTGTATGTAGCTAGTCGGCTAATTGCTAAAGATGATTGGTCCATAAAATCAGTGTATTTGCGAAAAACACAGCCGTACATTCCTCTAATAATATGTATTAATACTTCAAATACTCTGGAAAAACATCTTAAGAATTTGTTCGTTGTCAATAGTGTAGACAAAGCTAGCTATCCTGACAGTTACAATTTATTTTGAAAATTATTAAATTAATTAGACTTTTATGTCATGTAGTAACTTAATTAAACTTTGGATTAAATGTGGACGCCCTGCCAGTCTGTCCCAGACACATCTGATAGAGTTTGTCCATTTTATTAGACATTTATTCACAAGAACACTAAATGTGGCTTATATTTTATAATAAACAGCCATTTAAATGACATTACATTTATTTGAAGTGTCTATCTCAGTTTCCAACACCGATAACGATGCTGTTTGTCCTTGTATACTTTGATTTATTAATAAATAAGAAGCTATATCTGTCATATAATATCAGAGCATTTGATTCATCCTGTGAACTTTTATGAAAGTTTGTATATTTAAAGACACGTCATTACAGGGACTTGTTTTCTAACCAAGCATTAAATGGGGCTTTTGAATTAAAATCGTATGTGCTGTATAGTCTCTAATATATGTTTAACTCTTATTTTTGCAGTGTAAAGCATGGGGA